CAGCGCGCTCCGGACACAACTAGTGCGGTTATTTTGGTGCCCAAGTGTGCCCACCTAGAAAAGGAATTTCAAACACGCGGTTGGACCTTACTCAAAGAGTTTACAAAAAACTCCAATATCTTCTCCGAACCTAAACCCGGAGGTGGTCGCACCAGGTCCCCAAACTGCAGCGGCGAGTTTCAAGCATGGCTCGACCCCTGCCAGGAAAAGTCCAAGTGTTCTGCACTAGAACCTCTGACTGAAAACACCGCGCCACTACTACCGTGCAACTTTACTAGCACAAAAGCTGTCGCCTTAGTCGACTCAGGTGCTTCGCACGTTTTCATATCCGCCACACTTGTGCAAAAACGGGGTTTACAGCCCCTCACTAGCCACGTAGCTACTTGCATGCTAGGAGACGGCGCAAATAGCGCCCGCCTCCAAGGTCAGGTGCATACGTCGCTCCGTATCCACGGATTCCGCTGCAAAATCGTAGCGCAAGTTATCCCTAATTATCCACCTCACTCAAGGCGCCCCGAGGACGGGTTCGCATTCAAGAGGGGGGGAATGTAACGCCGCTAAGGCGGCCCTTGGCTCACCGGGCCAACGGTATCGTACCAACGGTACATCCAAGAACTATTCATAATCTTCCAATACCAAACGGTATTTATCAATACCACCTTTTATCGTTGGATAATTTCCTTTTTCGCAACTGCTTGCCAACTGCAAGCTTTGTTACATCGTCGGTCGTAATTTTGTTCAGTAAACCTGACAAGGTTTCAAATGATTTCAGCCGACTTTCGGATATTGTGGCATGGACCCACTACATTGGCGGACCTGGTCGACCAGGTCGATCGACGTCGGCCTCGGGTAACCTTGCCTATGTACTTATTTGTTCATCAACTATATTCTACTTTGTGCTGGAACAATCGGCGTTCCTTTGGGCCATGACCATGACTACCAATGGTCATGTTACATCGGAGCACCAAAACAAGTGGCAAACACCCTAAGTAACCTAAATTTCACTTATGATAAGTTCACCGGCTATATTCATGTTTCCCAATGTGCTTTCAGGGCTGCACGTCAAAAGTAACCTCGTCCAGACAACCGTCCCTTAGCTGCTGAGCCTTGGGCGCTACACGTCTCTGGACTGCCAAATGGCCGTAGGTAAAGAGCAAATCGTAAGGACAAATAATGCCTCCCTACACTCATATTTGATGGCAAACACGTTAACTAACCTCGTCATAACATTTCACACACTCAGCGCGCATATCTGTGCCTAATTATGACACTTTCAAGGTTGCACATTTATCAAGCTTCTAGCTGGCGAGTAACCTGTCCAGACAACTGCCCCGTAGCTACTGAGCCTGACGAGTTACACGTCTCCGGACTGCCATAGGGAGGACTTCACTTTCAGCATGTTCTTGATCCTAACCGCTTTCAAGGCCTGTTAGCTTCCCCAAACCCTAACAGCTGTCAACAATTGAAAATTTCTCTGGATGAACTGCCCATAGTGTAACATCCTGATGGGGTGTCACGCTGTGGGTGGCTTGTCCCAGGAAAGGACGAGCACTGGCACCAGGGGCCCTGACTGGGCCGAAGCACAGTGCAGGGGTGGGCGCGCGGCTCTACATCCCACTCTGGGAAAAGGGGGGTCATTTTACCCGTAATTTTGGGTCAATCCACCCGTAATTTGACAGAAATTACGGGTCCGTAACACGTTACGGGTCCCGTAATTTGAGCACAAGGATACAGGTGAACATTTACGGGTGAAG